TTAATGTTTTAGACCTTTGAGTATTCACAGTTAACATAATAGAATACAGAGAATACATAAACCATTGTAAAGGAAAAAAGTTATCAACGAGAAATTAATTTTCTCGTACATTTGCTCGATTGTCTGCTATTGTTACTGTCTTACAAAATAACAAATATATACAAACGTATAAAGTTTGGCTTAATTAATTTATGCAACACTACTGAATTCTTAGATATCGATTAAGTTTAAATATTTCACAACTGAGAAACACGATATTATAATGCCTTTAACAATTGAATTTCACGGATGAAAGTATTCAGGTTTCTGTGACGATCGAAATAATCTCATGCGATGGTTGCGGTTATATGTAGACACCGATAACATACAATTTTGCTCCTGCGGTTTACTCAGTATACAGTTTCCTACCTACTAGCAGATATTATAATTTCTTAGTTATCGCGTATATACAAACACATATGTATAAAAGTATATACAATGTATATTTTATTTTAATAACATGTGTAATTTCGTCAGTTAAATGTTGCAACACAAATAACTTTTTTTTCTCAATAGTACATACCTATTTAAAAATTTATAAATTTCCATCTATCAAAATTACTCCAGGGAAATCTCGAATTTGAAAGTAGCGCATATCTCTTATAGGTATGGTAGACCGGGGCACATTTACGCATGGGGCATGTTTACGCAGTTCACTTTTTCCGAAACGAGTTATAACTGGCGCGCCACCAATCATGACAGATTGATGCTGCTCCCCAGCGAGTATTCTCCCAAGTTTTTGAGCGTCAGTCGAGCTTCGGTCTAGCATGCGGAAAGGATAACCTATTTTCTGTTCAAGCTGAGTAAATTTTGTGTTGAACTTATTGAAACTTATTGTGAACTAATAATACTTAGTTAAGGATAAACAAATATATGAACATTAGTAGAATTTTATCCTTTTTTGAGAATTGATTTGTATGAACAGAAATGTTATTAATTTTCGTTGCATGATAAAAATAAATCCAAACATGGCGATGGGGCACGTTTACGAATTAACATCGGGGCACCTTTACGCAAGTTTTTTTCAGGCTATTTAGTTTTGCAAATCATCATTTAATGTTTAATCGAGTAACAGATTCGTCTCTTATAAGTAGCTTACAATCATATAGTTCTGTATTCATGTCTGTTCAGCTTTAATTTTATAGACTATTCCTGACTTGGACCTAGAAATTGTTTCTACGGTTAAAAACACAAATAGGGCAACAACTGAATACACAAATTTTGACTTTATTAACTGCTTTATAAAACCACAATGTCTAAAATTTCCTAAGTTAAAACATAAGAATTAGAAAATTCATTGAAAAAATGTGTAAACGTGCCCCGGTCTACCCTACTATATCCAGGTTTTTTTGATCAGAACTTTAGGGTTTTTGTAGAAAAAGTTATTTTAATAGTTCCTTTCCATTCTCAGCCGAAGTGCTCGGATGAAGCACTTCGGCGAAATTCGTCGAAGCGAGATAATCCTCTACATTACTATTCATCCGCGTAAGGCCCAGAACTAAATAGGTTGTTCGCGCCTCGCAGCCTTTAGGTTTGTTCAGGTTTCGTTATTACTAGGGTCCGGAAAATGTGCCATAAAGGAGACTCGGCACTATGATAATTATAGTATAAACCGTATTTTTAAGCGCGTATTTCTTGCCCGTGTATACGTCCGCCACTGACCGACACTGATAAATGCACTAGCATCTCAATCCCATGCGGGAAGATGCAATACACAATGCTCAACCCATAACTCGGGCCGAATATTCCGGTGTCGACAAGCCGACGACGTCAGTATTCAACCTGACGTCGACGCTTCGACGGTAGACCGCCGAGTTCAAAATAATTTTCGTGAGTTCGTGTAGTGTATTTACACATTATCTGATTTTGTATGTGTCGTCGTGTAACGTCGTGTATATCACAGTCGTTACCAATTGTATACTGGAAAAGATGATTGAAAATTACGACGATTTTTTATATCGCATCACGGACGAATAACATATTTTTTGCATTCCTTGCAATCGTCTATACCTACATATTTCGTAGACACCGAGATGTGAAAGACGTTATTAAGACGTAGATTCGAATACCATCAACAAAATATTCCTGGTCCTGTTAGAAAAGAGGAATTTTGGATTGATTGTGCATAATGTTTTGCGCAGGTAGCCTTTTGTGGAACATGGTCGACAATATTCACTTTTGACATTTTTTTGCCAAATATGTATTAGATTTTCCATTAGTAGCCATAGTAGTCATACATTGTGTAAAATATATTTGTAGAAGACATATCAACGTGTCATGGGTATTTAATATCCAAGAAGATTTACGCAATAAATTGCTGTGGCTGACAGTGGTCGAAACAGATTTTTGCGGTAATAAGGTCGTTAATGTTCTGATACGAATTTTAGGTGTTTCGAATATTTCGCCCCGATATTTATAGCCAGTAAAGGAGTTTTGCAAACAACGGCTAAAAGTATAGAAATAGTAGTAACACGTGCATTTTTCCTCTGTAGATGTAAAAAATAATACACACAACTATGCGAAATTCGTAAAAATAATGTGGTGGTGTGTTGTGCTCTGTACATGTGAACTATTTTGAATTTTCATCTTTAACTTCAGTGGATGTTTAGAACGATCATTTTCCCTCTATAACCTATATTGAGGCCAAATCTCTCACGTTTAACGAGGAAGAAATGCAGAAAAACTACTGGTCGTTTCAACGTACTCTCAAGCAATGAAAGCAGTCGGTGTTTCTGAATGACACAAGCGATAGGAATGTAGGTACATTATTAACGCAATTTTACTTTACTGTCTTTTCAGTCTGTCATATGTCCTTCCGTCAATGACATGACGGATTACGAGTCCGACCTTGTTTTTGGCACACTTTTCCGGAGCCTAGTTATTACAGTCGCAGAACTATCAGACGCATCTGTATTTGCTCTATAGCGTTCGAGTTTATTCAGCAACTTTTTTGGAACCACTGATGACATCTAGTATATGTTCGAGATTGTTTAAAACAAGTTTTTACTCCAACATAAGGTTAGGTAGTATAAGAATGTAGTTCTAAAGTTTTTATAATTTGCTTACAATAGCACTGTTGTCATTATAAAGTTTAGTTAGGGGGAGTTTTCTTCTATTGTTTTGCCTTATAGGTATTAGGTATGAGTTCAAATAGTTTATTTATCGTCCGAGGACATAAACCAAACTGTTCGCAACCTGTGACAAGAAGTTTTTATTAATTTTGGTTTAGTGAATACCAGCTGTTAAGTCACTATAAAGTTTCGTTATTTAGTTTAGTTCGGTGCCCCTTCGGTGCAATGTTTTTTTTCCTTTTTTTTGTTTGTTGTACGTAGGGACTAGTTCCAACTTTCATTTTGAAATTTGCAATTGAAAAAAGTAACCACGGTTATCCACCAAATGCGCTTCATTTTTTATAATACACCGACAAGTTTTTGAAAATTGTATCACACAGGCTATAGAATATTTTTTTATTAAAAACGAAGCGGTTTTTGGAAGGTAATTGTGGTTACTTTTTTCGTTGCAATTTTTTAAAAATTAGTGAAACTTGTCGAACCTGAAAAAATCCAAATTTAAAAATGGGGCACCAAACTACCGTACGCACGCCACTGATTTTGTGATTACAAAGTTTCTTGTGTGATTTCAAAGTGACTTGTATATTAACTTTATTACTTAATCCTGGAGTGGGTACTGGACCCTTCCGCGTAGAAACAAGAAACTGGACGTTTTCCACGAAATACGAGAAAAGTATAGTAGTTCGTGTTTCGTGGAAAACGTCCAGTTTTTTTTTTGTTACTTAAAATCACTTTTTCTACAAAACACCAAAGTGGTAAAAAAACTTTATACAGGGTATCCCGTGTGTGCGGAATAATATTTCTAGAGTTAACCAATGTTACATAAAAAATGATCAAAGAGTTCTGCATATTACGCGTCTCAGAATTTTTTTTTACTTGACAAGATTGAGTAATGAAACAATATCACTTTCTTCAAAATGATTTTAACGTAGTCTCTAAAGAAAATCTATTTTTTATTGTTCTAAATCTAAAGCTTAAAACCACGTTTTTATAATTCAGGATTTTGTATTTTTATGGTACATTATATATAATTAGGTACATTGAATTAAATAGTTTACAAAATATTTTGCTGTGTAGATACCTACTTGCATACTAGCTGATTATCTCAATTTACAGAACTACATAATTCATAATATGCACCAACAATAACGGTACAATCTTCAAAAAATATGCATGATACATTATCTATTTGTAACACAGAGAAGTGTGTGTTGGAAATGACAATAAAAAAAGTAAGTTCCTGGACACTTTTTACGGTTCTCGAAAGAGCACGTGACAATTAAAGCTCATACCTGGCGCACCGGTATCTCGTGGGAAAAATGAGAATCGTCGTGCATTAAACTGATCACAACACGTTCCACGCAGAGGCGTACCTACCGGAATAGAACAGCTACACAGAATCTTCGATCCCCCCTCTATTGCCCATATTGTCAGAAAAGCCCATAGTAATTATTTCTAGTAATTGGTTTTTAGTAGTACAGCATGATAAATATGGGGAAATAATCATTATATGTACTTATAATAATAGTAGTAATCATAAATAAATAAACATAAGTAGTGTTAACCATTATGTACATATACTAGACGATTTTATTTGTCACTTTTAGGATTTGAAAATTATTATTTTTTAATAATCTACGCAGTCAGTTGTACTACTTACACTAGTTATAATTTTCAACTAGTTAGTTTACGATTAACTAAAAATACCTACAAATATTTTGGTTTAGCCAAATGTGTCGTTTCCGAGAACAATAATAATATAATATATCACGCCACAGAAATTGACATTCTCCACTAGGAATCATTACGATCGTATCAGGGATCAGTATCGTGTCAGGGGGAGAGTATGCAACCTGCATGCTCTCCATTGTGCCAATGACAGGTGTCAATTGCCACAAGCGGGATTCAAAATTCAAATCCGCGCAGACAATAGCTCTCAGAGTAATCGCCTCACATGGCGCTTTACCCACTGAGCTATCGCCGCGGCAGTATGTATCTATTAAACTATTTCAAAAGTATGAATTACAATGACATAACTTTTTCCGATAGCTGTTTCACAAGGACTAATCTAACTAAATAAACCTTGTGTCAGCGTCAGATTGATATTGCTCAACTCCAAACGTCAGATACCTAGTAGTTCCATTCGTCGTTCATTCTGGGCTCTATTTTACGTTATCTTGTAAACTAATATTATAAAATTATCTTATTACAGTAGTTCTGTCATACACAAGGTTGACGTACATAGCATATTATAGTATAATGCCATATGTATAATATAGCTATGTACTAGGCAATGTGGCTAGTAAGCGACAGTGCTCTGCACGGGGGTAAGAAACTAGCAATTCCAACCTCGCAACACGCTACAAGTACATGTGCCAGATGCACCTATTAGTCGTAAGAGCTTTCAGTAACGAGCTGATGCGATATTTCGCTATATTAGATAAATCCCCTTATATGCATTAATCAAAGTTACTCAAGTTGTACTTGAGATTTGGGCTAATTACTCCCAGTCGTAGTAGTTTTCCGAAATTAAGATAATTAACTTTGAAGTTAGCATATTTTTCCAAAATTCCCCAAATCTGTGGGAAATTTAAATAACGAGATTGCGCCGTTGCATCGGTGTCATGCAATCCCTAGGTCTTTTTGCCTAGGCTAGCCATACCCATTATAAACTCGAAAATTTAATTTAAAACTATTGTTGTAGTTTTAGGAGTCTTAAATTTCTGATTCGCATCAAATTGTTTTGTGCATTATTTCGTTATGAAAAATATATTTTTTTCGATTGGCATTTAAGGATATAATATAATTTATATTACTTTGGTAAGTAATATGTGCTAAATTACTTAGCTAACGTATTAGGTTAGGTTAGTTTTCAAGAACATAATAAGATGTGCATGAAAAGAATGACAAGATACGTGTAATTTAATTAATTGTTAGGTTTAGCAAAGTTCCGCAGTTTACTCTTAGGGCGATATGAAATAGTCTTGTAAATGATCATGTTACAGATTAAAAAATAGCGTTTTTTAGTAGTATTTCTTATCGTTTGAACCTTAAAATTTGTACCTCATGAAATATTATGTTTTTAGAGCTACTTCATAGTATAGAGGCATGCACCGATCATGCGTTGTTACGTCATGGCAGTAGGAAGTATTTCACGATTTCCAAAAAAATGTTTCAAAAATATATCATGAAACTTGTGAAATTTTCTATTTTATTCTTGATTATTTTTGATTTCAACATAATTTCTTTTACAAGGTCAGTCGGGTTTGTACTGTTTGCTTTAGATCTTTATAATTGTAGAAATATAGAATTCTCATGCAAATTACTTTTATTTATGATACTCTTACGGATAGAATCTCTTGATCTTAGCAAGTGTGAAACTTTTATCCAGCAATTGCCATGAGATTTCGATGACAAATTGATGTAAAGAAGCCGCTATCCAATTACACTATCGCTATCCATTATCTCTCATACGACCTGACCAATGGCCACGTATAGTAAATACAGTTGTGTCATAAGCGTATGTCCTGCTTATGACTATGGAGATTACCCTTCTTCAGTATTTAGGTGAAGTGTGTTGCTCTGAGGTATTTATTAGCAACTGACAATTGCCTGTTGCGCCGCTGGTTCAGGTACCTGCACATATTAGACTAAGACCTCACGAATCAGATCATCACAAATTTGATAAAGCCTCAAATTTGATCAGTTACTCATGATGTACATGATGGGGCTAGACGCCCAGTCGCGGTAGGTTCACTGTTGATTTAATTTACGATAATAAACAATCGTGATTTGATTGATATGTATAATGCGCCGATCACCGTGCGCTTGAAAACTCACTTAATTAATACGGACCAAGCTACTCGACCATTATCAGTTCTTTTGTTGCGGCCAATCATATAATAATACTTGCTTAGTTTTTTACTATTTAAATTAAACCTAGTGGTTTAATTCTTATTTGTAATGAAAATAATTTGTCGAATTGATTTATCTTAATTTTACAATCTGTATTGCCCTGGGAGTTTGCATCAGATGTCTCTTAGGTATTGGTTAGACAGTTTAAATGACGGTCGTTGGCAGTGGGAACCATTCCCCATCATGCCTCGAGATGAGATTTACCCAAGTTGATACTTTTACTTAGTTATTTTCAGGTGTGTTACTTTGGCAAATTGTGTAATTATGAAGGCTGCCGTTTTGGTATGTCAAAATATACCATTATAGCTCTAAAATTAGATGGAACCGTTACTGCGGCTACTACGTCTAATACAGATATAAAATTCAAAATTTTTTACAAAGGACTCTATGAAGTTTAATTTATATAAACGTCATTCTTGATAATATTAGAAGCATATACTTTTCAAGGCAGATGATGTTGCTTTTATCTGGAGACAGTGAAATATTTTCTACCTTACGAGATTGTATGATACTTATTACGGATAGATTCTCTTTTTCTTAGAAGTGGAAACTGTATCAACCAATTGCCATGAGATTTCGAGACATTACCTCAAGACAGAAGCCGCTATCCAGTATGTACATTATCGCTATCACATAATCTCTCCTGACCTTTTGACCAATGGCCACCTATAGTAAATACAGTTATGTCATAAGAGTATTCATGTCTGTGACTATTTGGAATACCATTGTTCAGTATAACGGTGAAGTATCTTCCACAGCATTTTATTTATTAGCCCCATTGCCTGTTGCGCCGCTGGTTCCAGGTATGCACATTAGACTTCCTCACAATGATCATCACAAATTGTGATACATCTCTATTAATTATAAATCTGTTATTGAGTAATACATTATAAAAACAACACCGATTACTGTTGATTTAATTTACGATAGTAAAAATTCGTGACTTGTCTTATATTTATAATGGCAAACAAGCTCAACTAATTAATGCGCACCAAGTTCGACTCGACCATTATCAGTTCTTTTGTTGCGGCCATCTGAAAATACTGCTGCGTGCTACGAAGAATTAACCACTATCACGAGATTTGATTTGTCCGAATCATATCTTCAATAAAAAAAACTGAACGGAATATGGATTTACTTTCAGATTTCTCATTAGATATTACATGAAAATGGAAATTTAGTTGTTGTCAAATTCATTTGTAGTCTATCCACCGTATACCTCGAGAATACAAGCATTTTACATAAATTGATAATAGTCATTAATTATATAATTCTCAAGGATGGAAAACTTTGATTGTGTGATAATAACGGTATATATTAAGCGTAGTGTGTTATATAGCGCGAGAGATGAGTTATGGAATTAGTGGGAAACTGCAACTAATACAGTTATAAAAAAAGATTTTTTAAACAAAGGAAATTTCATGGAAAGAAAATTATACGTTCTTTAAGATCGTCTCGTCCAAAATGATGTTGCAATTTTACGTGCACAGAATGCCATTTATTGTAACATTACGTTTTTTACACGACTGTATTCAGCTCCTCAATTTAAATAAAATAGACTTTTTAATTCGAGTTCGAGTCTGCTTCCGTCAATGACACAAGCTCTACGTATGTACCTTATTAACACATGTTTATTCCATGACTTTGGAAATGGACCTAGTAAAAAAAAGTTATAAAAAATTATAAACGGTGCCAGTGTAAAATCGTGATAAGCTGTGGCCGGCCCACACATTTGGTTCTAACATGAGTCTTGGTCTGTCGACTCCTTCTCAACATTTGTAAATATGAACGTGTTTGAAATCTTTGATTATTTCAAAATGGTTATCGTCTTTTACTTTTAGCAAAAAAATGGAGGTATTAATCAGAAAGGCATGACTTCACCGTCACCAAATTTACAAACACAGAGCTAACTAATAATGTGCTGCCAATTCAAACTGAAAATTACCAGACGGTGCAAAGGATGGCGTATGCACGACAAGAAATACTTACTTTTACGAGTGTTGTTGGCCAGGCGTCTACTTTTTCGGATAAAACATATATAACATATAGATTTTCTAGATTCGTCATCACAAATTAATAAAAATATACGTTTTGTCACACTCAATTTGTACTCTATTATTACCATTAAAATCATCGAATTCGCAGTTATAAAGCTCTAGACAATAAATTGAGATTAATGTATTAAAATATATACATTCTCACCCTCGAAAACATTGAGTAATATTAATAATAACTTTATAAGGCGTGGTGTGTAATTTTGGTCATACGACACAAACTTCGTTTCAGGGGCACAATGAGTTTGGAAGTTATTCAAACAAAGGAATTACATGGACAGAAAATTATACAGTTTTACAACTGGAGCTCGTACAAAATGATTTACAATACATTGAGGAATGCGACGATTTTGTGATCGGCCGAATATTGTTGAGTGAAACATTGACAATATTATGTATGATATTTCATTTTACGGGCGGGTTGACTGCAAATTTGATCTACATACCACGAATTTTATTTACAATAATACGTATCTAATTCTAAATATAATACAACCTGCAAAATTGTATATTTATGGTATTGTATATTTATTGTATATTTCTTGCAAAATTGTATATTTATTGTATATTTCTTCACCTTTAGTTACGTAACGAATAACTTTATCTGCCAACTTTAACAAAATCTTTGTTCCCCACTTTCGACTTAACCTTTTCACATCCGGTTAGTTTTAGTTAATCCATTTATTTTATGGTAACAAAGAAATTAAATTACAATAGTGACCTATTTTCTTGTTTGTAAGGTATATATCTGTTAGATAAAAACCAGAAGTGAAGAAATCGGGCCTTTTTAGTTACATAATAACACGAGGTACGTTTTATAGACTTTTTTTCCAATAATTTTGTTTATCCCTATATGACATTACTTTTTTCAATAAATTATGTCAGATATCTATGAAAACAATTTTTGTCACAAAAATGGTATCTGCGAATTACAATTTAGATTGAAACGTTGTTTGGACAACACTTGGAACATCTTAAAATTCAAAATGCAAGTTTTGTTAACAAAAAAAAAAAG